GGTGAACTGCTGGCGCACACAACTTTTCCATATGCTCACAAAAAGTCCTCTTTGACCCACTTCTTCATTAAACTGTGTTTATATATATGCATAATATATATTTAAATATATATTTTAAACAGATTGTCTCTTCAAAATAATGCATGCCTAAATGTTTTCTCTCAAACTATGCATTTCTAAGCACAGTGTGCCTTTAAAAATGTATTGTGGTACATTTTTGAGCTGTTGGAATATTTAGAAAGGGGGGGGGGACATGATGGATAACGTACGTTCTGAACCACGAGTTAGTCTGGAAGGTGTGGATCAGTCAGTTCATATTGCCGTTTGGAAAGATCAAATTCCTCCAGCGCTGAGAAGTCCAAGCTGCTGTCATTTGTATTAAAACTCGTATGCATTGCCCCTCACATAGATATATTGTATTTGGACTCCTGTTCAATGCTTAGCGATGACTGGAATTAAGCGGTATACAGACTTGTGGAAATAAATAAATAAAATGAACATGTGCATGCATATATCTATATATATATATATATATGCACAAACATGCACACATGCGTGCATAGATTCTCTCTGGATCAATTCAGTATAACTGCCCAGCTGCTATCTGTACCACATGGCTCTCTAGGCCCAATGAGTGATCTGCTCCATCCTCTGCTTTACAGCTCTGTGTCATCCTCTGCTTTGCACCTCCCAGTGCCCTGACTGGTTTAAAGCTCCCCCTTGCTTTGGCATGCCATCAGTGGCAGTGCCAGCTGTTTCTCCCCTCCCCCCCCCCGCCTCTTCCCTGTCTTGCCTCATTTTGAGAAAGGCCTAAAGGGGGCCTGCAGAGGGAGATATTTTCAGCAAGGTGGTCAAAAGAGGCTTCAGCGTTTTAAACATTATGGATAGTTTCTTGTGACATTTCTTAAAAATATGTTCAAAGCAAGGTGGATTTGATTTAAATTGAATTGATTTAAATCACAATTTAAATCACTGGTCAGTGAGACTTGATTTCAGTCACTTTTTTACAGAAAGACTCATTCTTGCTGGTATAATCTTAATATTTACAACCAGATGAAGGCTTAATCTTTGGAATAATAAATTTTCGGAGTAGTTTTTACAGTTATATAAAAAACTGCTGATTTGGTTATACTATTCAAAATACATAGACCGATAATTATGAAATTATTGTGAGGTTTAGTAAGTTCACTGTTTATATTTGGACAACTTTTCTGCTTCCTTAATAACAATTCAAACAATTTATTGAACGAAAACAATAACATTATAGCATATGTATCCATGTTTGTTAACTGATGTGGTTAAACTTTTTTTTAAAAAAAAAAAACTTAGACTGATTTTTGGCACACATGAAAAACTTAAAACAAATCCTTATTTCCTGATGAATAGCCTTTGAACTATAATGTAACTTGAATAAAAAACTATCTTCAGAAAGATTTTTTCCTCCAAAAGCATTTTATTCTAAAAATCCAATTTAAATAAAAAAATTCTGATTTAAATTTTAAAAAATTCTGATTTAAATAAAAAAATAATAATATTTATTTATTTATTTATTTATTTATTTATTTATTTATAAATCATTGATTTTTATCCACCTTGGTTCAAAGCAGCTGTTCTAGCCACCATGGCAAACTGTCTTGCAACATCAGAAACAAGAGCCACAGTTTAACTGTACAATATTAAATGGGGGGGGGGGGGGACCTGTGGTAATACAGCCTTCCTTTCTGCAACATGGACAAAGTTACGTACAGGTATTCAGCATTATGAATGTGACAGTAAAAGGAATGGCAAACTGTGGCAGTAGTTCTTTTTTGGCTGCCGAACCCAGAAGGCCTCACTTTGAAGTACCCCCTTGTTCCTTCCTCAGAAGAGGGGCACCATCTTGGGGGGCCGGGTCCCCTCAATATCCCATGACTATGGTGTGCACATGTGCAAGAAATATGGCATTTGCGCAAGATGTCAGCACATCATGTGGTGTGCGTGCACACGCCACACAACAACAGCCCCCTCAGTCATGGGGGAAGCCAAAGCGTTTGACTCAGAGTAAGAGGAGTTGGCAGGGCTTTTTTTCATCTGGAACTCACCGGAGCTCAGTTCCAGAACCTCTCAGATAAGTGCCTTTCCATCATTATAAGAGAACAAGGGAAGCGTTCATATTTTTCTAGAAAAATAGCACTGCTCCTGCCATCCTAGCAGTTCGAAAGCACGAAGTGCAAGTAGATAAATAGGTACCGCTCCGGCAGGAAGGTAAACGGCGTTTCCGTGAGCTGCTCTGGTTCGCCAGAAGTGGCTTAGTCATGCTGCCCACATGACCCGGAAGCTTCCTCGGCCAATAAAGCGAGATGAGCGCTGCAACCCCAGAGTCGTCCGCGACTGGACCTAACGGTCAGGGGTCCCTTTACCTTTACTTTACCTCATTATTGGGCTAATGCTGTGGACGTCCGTACGATCTAGGCTCACTTGTGCTAGTGTCAAGTTCTTCTTCTTATATGTCTGAAACTACAAGAAGCAGATACAGTGGTACCTTGGTTTAAGAACAGCTTTGTTTATGAACAACTTGGATTATGAACACTGCAAACCCGGAAGTAGGCATTTTGGTTTGTGAACTTTGCCTTGGAAGCAGAACATGTTGAGTGTGTTCCATTTGTAAATTGAGTCTCGCGCTGCTATGGGAAAGCATGCCTTGGTTTAAGAACGCTTTGGTTTAAGAATGGACTTCTGGAATGGATTAAGTTTGTAAACCAAGTTACCACTGTACATAAAAGTGTTTTCAGGATTCTGATACAGCATTTCGGAGCAGAAAATCGTCTCAGTTGATCAGGGGAGCTGTATTCTATACCAGTACAAAATGGCATTAATAAGTGGGAGACAGGCAGCTGGTGCCTAGCATTTCATATTGTCACCACATGCTTATAACTGCTTATTGCCGATTTGAAAGAAAGCCGCAATGTGTGCTTTTGAAGTTACTGTTGTTCGCCGCAGGAGGCGGAGGAGGGAGGCCTTTTGCCTGCCAGTAGATACGATGCGCACTTATGGTAGACATGAACGGTCACATCTTTAACTCAATATAAATTTCAGCTAGGCAGCCAACCCAAGTCTTTTTAACACCTCAGCTGAAACCACACTCTGTAAACATGCAGTTGGTTGGCTTAAAGCAGCAGATGTAGCCAAAAGAGTTGGCAACGGCAGCCAAACTAAATCTGTGGTCAAGGTTTTTTTTTCTCTGCTGTGTGCCATACCGTAACCGTGATGTGCCAAATAGCAACAGCATCTCCAGCCCAGCTTATTAAATCTTTCTGGATTAGGCTGCCGGCAAGTGTTTTTTCCCCCTCTCTCTCTCTTTCTAACCCAAGCACTGTTGAGCCAAGCAAAATACTCCTTGGCTGAAGAAGAAAAAACACCACATTGGCATCTCTTTCAGAGGCATACATTTCTACTGTTACTTTGCCTCCCCCCACTTTCTTTTTAATGGAACTCTGAGGCTTTAAAACCGAAATTATTGATACATATGGTGAGAATTCTGTTCTTTAATACGCGCAATTAAGTGGATCGCTTTTTAATCTGAGTAAATTTGTTTTGGCTTCAGAGTCAGATTTGCAAAGGTGTTCCTCTGGCAAGCTTTTCCCCCAGCAGATAATTCCAAGAACCAGCATGCAACAGGATGCCATTAACCTGTGGACTTAATGACTTTTTGATAGAAGTAATGTTTAAAAGAATTATAATATGCATTTATGTGCATTAAGCATACACATGCACCAGTCATTCATACAATTTCCCTAAATATGCTGTGCATTGTAAACTGATTATAAGCTAAGAAATGTGTATGTTGCAAAGTTATAAAAGTCCCAAAGCTGTGGTTATTACAAATATCAGTGCTGGGAATCTTCTTTTGCTTTGGATCATAGAATCTTAGAGTTGGAAGGGACCCAAGCGTCATCTAGTCCAACCCCCTGCAATGCAGGAATCTCAGCTAAAGCATCCATGACAGATGGCCATCCAACCTCTGCTTAAAAATCTCCAAGGAAGGAGAGTCCACAACCTCTCAAGGGAGACCATCCCACTGTCAAACAGCTCCTACTGTCAGAAAGCTTTTCTGAATGTTTAGTCAGAATCTCCTTTACTGTAACTTGATGCCATTGTCTTCAAGAGCAGAGGCTATCCTATCTCCTCTCAGTCTCCTCTTTTCCAGGCTAAAAGTACCCAGATCCTTCAAGTGTTCCTCGCAAGGCTTATTTTCCAGATCCTTGATCATCTTAGTTGCCCTCCTCTGCATACATTCCTGTTAGTCAACATCGTTCTTAAATTGTGGCGCCCAGAATTAGACACAGTGTTCCAGGTGTATCAAGGCAGAATAGAGTCATTACTATTACAGTTACCTTGTGTCACAGACGCTTCAGGTTACATACGCTTCAGGTTACAGACTCCGCTAACCCAGAAATAGTACCTCGGGTTAAGAACTTTGCTTCAGGATGAGAACACAAATCGTGCGGTGGCGGCACGGCGGTAGCAGGAGGCCCCATTAGCTAAAGTGGTGCTTCAGGTTAAGAACAGTTTCAGGTTAAGAACAGACTTCCAGAATGAATTAAGTTCTTAACCCGAGGTACCACTGTACTTCCCTTGCTCTAGAAACTATACTTCTTTTGATACAGCCTAGAATAGCATTAGCTTTCTTTGCTGCTGCATCACACTGTTGGCTCATGTTAAGCTTGTGGTCCAAGGCTTACAGTACAAGCCTTCACATATTTACTCAGAAATGAATTCTAGCAAGTTCAGTGAGGTTTGATCTCAGGTCACAGAATCATAGAACTGCAGAGTTGGAAGGGACCCCAAGGAACATCTAGGCCAGTGTTTCCCAAACTTGGGTCTCCAGCTGTTTTGGGACTACAATTCCCATCATCCCTGACCACTGGCCTGCTAGCTTGGGTTGATGGGAATTGTAGTCCAAAAACAGACTCAGGTTTGGGAAACACTGCTCTAGTCCAACCCCCTGCAATGCAGGAATATGCAGCTGCCCCATATGGGAATCGAACCTGCAACCTTGGCGTTATCAGCACCACATTCTAACCAACTGTGGATATAGGATTGCAGCCGTACAAAGTGATCTGATATTCACATTATGCTGGTGGAACAGCCAAAAGATGCTTAGCCTGAGATGGCAAGAAGAAAGCACACAAGTACAGTGGTACCTCGGGTTAAGAACTTAATTCGTTCTGGAGGTCCGTTCTTAATCTGAAGCTGTTCTTAACCTGAGGTACCACTTTAGCTAATGGGGCCTCCCGCTGCCGCCGCACTGCCACCATGCAATTTCTGTTCTCATCCTGAAGCAAAGTTCTTAACCCGAGGTACTATTTCTGGGTTAGCGGAGTCTGTAACCTGAAGCATCTGTAACCTGAAGCGTCTGTAACCCGAGGTACCACTGTAGAACATTGGTTGGTGTAAATTTGCTCCATTGACAGGAGTGTGAATTGAAGAGGTGTAGGATTTGGCATAACTGTTCTCTGCTGTGCCACTCATAGCCCACCCATAGCTCTACCCCTTTTTAGCCATTTTTCGCTGTATTTTCACTGGTACTATATCCACTATATCCAAAGAATTCCACTGACATATTTTTTCATTGTGTATCTGGTGTTCTGCTGATACAGCAGCACTCCTGCCAAATCCTATTGCCCTTCAGCTGGCAGTTCTTACAGATAGGATTGCACCCACAGAATCATATTTTATTGTGATTGCCAAACTTTTTTTGTGTATGCTACACTATATATAACGCAGGAAAATTGTTGGGAGGAAAAATGAAAGAGCAGCTTTGCAAACATGTTGGAGTTGTTGGAACAAACTACATGAACCAATGCTTTCAAAGGAGTATCATTCCTTTAACATAGCATGGTTACGTGGAGAGACACTTATAATCTGCTGTGTCAAAGTGGACGAGTTAGTTTTTGATGTAAATGTTCAAGCCTTCATCAATTACCTTGGCTTATACATGTAGTTTTTCTCTTTGTTCTATACTGCATTATTTAAAATGTATGATTATTGTTTTAAAATGACAGAAAGTAGAGAAAACCAAACAGCATGATGGTATCCTGCCCCAGTTTGTATAGGTTCGTAATATTTGGGGGGGGGGGCAGGATAAGGAGCAATCAGTGTCGTGTTGGGGAAAATATTCCTGTTTGGAATTTATAACCAATCGCATGGCTCCTGGGGGCCCTTGTGGCATCTTGACATCGGAACATAAAACATCAGGGAAAACCGCAGTAAAACACCCTCTGTTAAAATGGAAGAAGAATCCTAAAGCAGCAGAACAACCTATCAGCAGATAATGGTTATGGGAGCTGTACGGAAGCTGCCGGGTATAGCAGTGTACCTGCAGTATGTGTGCACACAAATACACACATAGGTAACGTCAGCCTTGTGGATTATTTCCACCTCGCCCACAACTCAGGGTGGGAAGTGTCCCGGTCAGGTTTAAAAGCTTGAGAAATTGTTTCACTTTTGGATGGTTATCAAGGTGTCTCTTGATTAATCAAACAGCAGATTTCTCAAAACACGAAATGCTTTTAATATTACTGTAGGTTCCTTACTAAAACTCTGGAAGTCAAGTGTCCTCGGTTATCAGCGTGGTCCTGTGCATATCGATGTTTCTGTGTTGTGGATTGACTGCAGAGGCAGGGGTTTGGATTAGATGACCTTTGGCGTATTGTCCAATTCTAAGATTCCCTTATATCTGTTTGGAAGTAAGCCCAGAGAGTTTTTTTGGCTTATTCCCAAGTAGGTGTGCAATAGCACTGGAACCTTGGGCGAGATTATGCCCGCCCCCTTCCAGATTGCAGTGCCTTTCTTTGTGAATTCAGCCCGCCATCCATATGATGTTTAACTGATGATAAGTGTCACGCAGTACATAAAAGCAACTCCAGTGTGTGTGAACTAATAAAGATTGCTCGTTATTTTCCAGGGGGAGGGAGGGAGGGAATGGAAGGAGGAAGTGGAAAAAGTAGCCAGTGCCATCCTCATGTATATAGTAGTGTTCTGTCAGAAGCCAGACATACTAAAAATATTTATGCAATTTAAAATAATTTGTACAGGTCTAGCAAAGACTATTTTAGGCATTCGAACATTTGCAAGATCCCATTAGAATTCATGCGTAGCCTTGGCACCTGAGAATATGGCATTACCAAACCTTTCATGTGAGAATGAATGCGAACTGAACTACTATAATAAAAACATTATTTCTTGACAGCATCCTAAGCCGGCAACTGGACGACACATGTCTTTTCAAAACAATATTTTTAAGTCTTACTTGCATTTGCATGTGTGCTCAGAGGTGGGTTTCGTGCTAATTTAAGCACTTCACAATTAATATTTAAAAGCTTGTGGTTGCTACTTATGAAAAAGGGGGAAAGAAACCGAATCGCACTATGCGCATCTGACCCCCAAATACATTGACATGCTTATTTTAGATACCTTTTGGAAGCCGTACATCGTATCCTCAGAATCAGACATTACAACTTTTCCCACTTCGAAGGCGAAACTCTGTAATTTTAACTAATTATAAAACCGATCTTGCAAATCACCCACTGAACAGCTGGTAACAAAACTAAAATTACAAGAATAATGACTGGTTCTCTCTATTTGCATTAACATGACCTTAGTAGGCTCTAACATATATTAATGCATACCAGGAATTCCTTTGTCCATACCTTCCATTTACTGCACAGTTTCCTTGAACTTGGCTAGGTCACTTCATCTCATAGTTCAGTTTCCTTTAAACAAATTTGGGGTTTAATTACTCAGGCCAGAATCCAAATAATCCCTTGGGCTTGTGCAGGCAAGTTATGCGTACATGTTGGGGCTTTTCCCTTCCCCCCTCCCATCTTCAAATAGTTGTGCCCTTGTGGTCCCTTTCACTCACTGCCGCAACACATGGGCAAAATATTGTTAGCAGGGTCACACGCACAGGCCTGACATCTCCTGCCCCACTGGCCTTACTCCCCCAACATCTGCATTTTGAGTAGGGTGCCTGTGTGTACTCAGAATGAAGGAGGAAACTGGTTCGCTGTGCATTTAAAGGCAAACTTACTTAATGTGCAGCTCCTGGAACACTATACAAACTAGCACACAGTTGTCCTTGAAAATTCACGCTCCTGCGAATTTTACAGTGCAGCTTTCTAGTAATGTGTAAAAAAAAAACAACCCCACATGTGCTAGGCTAAAATGTGCAGAATAATGCATATAATACTGGTAAAATAATGTATGCATCGCATTAGGAAATTTTCTTGTAAAAATGTATATATTAGGAGCATATTATAGCATAAAAATGTGAAATTTAGGAGAGACTCGTCCTAAAATACTAATTAATTTTAATGCAGTCAGTAACACTGTATTCCAGCAGCAGCAGCTGGATCTCTAACAGGTACACAGCAAAAACTTTTAATGGAAGTCCATTAGATCATAAAAATGTGGGTTGAAATTTACATATTGGAATGTACCTGCCCATTGGGTTTCACGACTCCTATTATTAATTTTTTATTAATATTAATTTCAGTTCAATAAATGTATCAGCAAGAATTTAAAGACACATATTTTCAGATAAAATAGGCACCTGTCTCCATTATGTGAAAGTAAGGAACCACTCATTCAATATGTGGACGAACCACTCATTCAATTACTTGTATTAATATTTAACAAAACAATGCAAAACAAATGCCTACTGATTAATCAGAGGCAGCTTTTGAATTGATTAAAAATTATTTAACTTATTAATTGATTGCATTTTAGAGCCTGAATTAATTTCAGAACTTTCAAAACAAATATTTATTATTATATTATATATGACTGTATTGTGGGAGAGGACTGGGGGGAAAAGAAAGAAAAAATATATTTCAAGAAGAAGAAACGGGAAAATGTTTCACAGCTCATCCTTTTAACTGTCAGGGGTTTCATGAATAGTTGGCACGCTCACGCTCACGCTCACTTTCCTGAGCAGATAAAACTAGATCTTTAGATGTGTGTGTGTGTGTGTGTAAAAATAATATCTCCCCTCTGCCTTTGAGGCCATTTGTGATGTGATGAGACATACAACTCAAGTGCATGCCACATGAAGGAAGAAAAGCTTGCAATGTAAAACAACGTTGTTGTTAATGGTGCGTGAAAATAATCCCGGAAAGTGAGACTGCACAAATTCCAAGGAAAAGACTTTAAAATATATCCATGCACCAGAAATTCCCATCTCTGTAAAACGGGGTGGGGGGGTGTTGTGTTTGTTTTTTAAGACTATAATTTCCTTTCTCCCCCTGGCTTTACTACCAAAAGGAGTTGCTTTCATGTACACCAGGTTCAGGGAGAACAACACAGCATACACAAGTTACATCAGGAGTAGCCGACTTGACACCCTCCGGATGTCATAGAAGAGACCCCAAGGGTCATCTAGTCCAATTTCCTGCAATGCAGGAATCTCATCTAAAGCATCCATGACAGAGGACCATCCAAACTCTGCTTAAAAACCTCCAAGGAAGGAGAGTCCACCACTTCTTGTGGGAGTCTGCTCCACCGTCGAACCGCTCTTACTGTCAGAAAGTTCTTCCTGATGTCTAATAATAATAATAATAATAAATTATTTATACCCCACCCTCCCTAGCCAAGACCGGGCTCAGGGTGGCTAACAACCAATATAAAAACAAATTGATTGAAATACAACTTAAAAAACAAGATTAAAATGCAGCATTAAAACATTAAAATGCAGCTTTATTTCAATGGAAACTTAAATCAAAAACGTTTTTTGAGGGATGAAAACGTCAAGTCTTCACCAAGGCTAACTATCCAGACTGGTCCTACATGGGCCAGAAAAAAGTCAGGGAAGTCCCCAAATAGGAGTTCCATCGCAGGAGGGGAAAGGAAAAAAGAAAGAGGGGAAGAGAATCAAATTGATTCCAAGCCAAAGGCCAGGCAGAACAAATCTCCTTTCTTGTAACATGAATCCATTGATTCTAGTCCTACCCTCTGGAGCAGGAGGAAACAAGTTTGTTCCCTCTTCCATGTGATAGCCCTTGAGATATTTGAAGATGACTATGATATCTCCTCTCAGTCTCCTCT